AGTGGAAAGAAAAGGAAAGGAAATATTTACTGGAAAATGATCAAGAGAATAAAATCTACATTCTACCAAAGCAAAGTAAGAAATGGCCAGAAACAGCAAGGCAGATGGAAAGCATTGTAACAATATGTGCCAATAATTTGAGCAGCGGATGTGAGGTGCCTATGATAACAAAGCCTGCAGGACTTTTTTTGATATGTAAGTTTTTACAGCAGATAGGTGCATCAAGCGTATAGAACGCTTTACACTTTTGTAATAACTGAAGCCAGATTTTAAGCCTCACTCAGTACAGCAGACGAGGTTTTTACATTAAAAGGAGCTAGGTAATTGTCCTTAAATCACCAAAGTAGCATCCAGTTTAAAGGAAGCAGTTTCTTATTAAATATAGCAATAGCAGCCCAGCACGATTGAAATTTAGTATACTGCAATGTAGCACATTAATGTAACTATCATAAGTGCCATTCAGCCAGCAATAACTTAAGATCTTTTATATGCTGCTTTATTAATTTCAGACTTGATCTAACGAAAATTGATGCAATATGAAATGCTCAAGCATAGAGGCTGCATCAATTTATTTTTAAAACAAAGCAAAATAAACCAATGCAATGAGCACTAATTGTTAATCTATTTAGGAATTATACATAAACAGCAACCTTTGTTCATCTATAGTGCGAGTGACACCTGCCACCCATCCTTGGCACACAGTTCCTGCGGATTTTATAGTTTGTGTGTTAAGCCGTGAATCACCCCTACAGCAATGTTCAGTGTCGGACTCCTGTGTCTTTTCAGTGCTAGCTTTGTTAATGGTGAAGTAGTTGGCATCCTCTTGCAACTCGGATGGCTTCCTTCTGCAAGTTGGGATGGCCGAACAGTGGGAAAAGAGAATCAGAGGGAAAGTGAAAAGCAAAGATAGGTCAAGGTTACCAGCAAGATACTTAAAATCAAGACGTACCAAATTACAATTAGTTTAAAAGGTGAAGTAGCTGCCTACTTTTGCAAATGTTATTTTGCAAAAGTAATTTTTTCTCATTATAATTTCACAGTCAACAAGCTTCAAATCAAATTCTTTAAAACTCAATTTACAAAAGAAAATTAAGCACTCATGAAGAAACCATGAGCATGAATTTTAACATCCAAAACCCACCAATCAAATATCTAGTGATCCAAATCCTTTTGTTCAGTTGAAATTCTTAGTTTACAGATTGCTCAAGTTCCAATTATTTTGGTTTATCCCCTAAGAGTCATTGCTGACACCATCGTGTCAACCAGACACTGCATACATTTGCTAAATTTAGTGAATCAAAAGAATCCAAAACCGCCACAGGAATGTCATAACCAAAATAAAGGGAAAATGTTAAGAGAAAAGCAGAAAAAGGTAGTACGATAAACCAGGCTCAATTTGAGTTAATAAAGTACTCATGAATCAAGGCCTTTATAGAAATGCAGAATGAAATTGCGTTTATAAAACATCTTTCAGAACCTCAAGACATCCCACGTGCAAAAAATAAAGGACCTTTGAACTGTTGTCACTATTCCAATTTAAGAATCACCCTAGCCCTTCTTCAAATACTTAGACAAGGCAAAAGAGGGTCTTAGTTTAATGTCTCATTTGAAAGACAGTATTTCTGACAATACAGCACTCCTTCAGAACCACAGTGAAGTGTTGGGCTAGATTAAGTTCAAATCCGAGGCAGCTAGTGCTGCTAATGAACTGTGGATCACATCTTGTGCAAGTGATCATGGATAATTGATCTACAGACAAATCTCCACAGTAAATGCTACTGTCGTCAGGTAAAGACAAACCTGATGTACTGAAGCTCCTTATACCATGGTCTGCTTCGAGAACCCAACTGGATTTGTCTCCATTGTTCTTCTTCCTTTGCAGTCCAATTCTTTGGTAGGAATCTATCAAAGGTCACACTTTTCACTGGTAACACTGGGTTCAGTTTACGTGTAAACAGGTCATCCTTTTCAATGTCCGGACTGGCATCTTGTTCTTCCTCAGAAGCGGATTCATCCCAAAGTGGTTGGGAAGCTTTTGTGGATTCTTCATTCACCACACAGACACTCGGCTGCTTTTGGCTATTGTTAGAAACATCCTGTATCATAAGGTTTATCTGCCAGAATATACACATAGCAGACAAAGTAACATGCTATGTTGTTTTTCCAAAGAGCTTGTACATTAAGCTGATATGACATAGTATGTGTTAGTTTTGCACAGATAGACAAAACTATTTCATTGGCTGCAGAGGCATTTACTGATTTAGCATGTTATAATGCACAACACAAGCAAATGTTTTCAATATTATGATTACTGATGGGAAGCATGAAATGTTTTGTAAGTGAAATGCAAATGGTGTAGTTTTCTTTAAGTTAATATGACAACCACTGAAGCTTGTAAAGCTGTACTTGAAAGCACATTCTATAAGCATCTCTGACCTTCCAGATTTCTCGTTCTCTTCTACTAAAGGAGTGATGCTCTCAGTCGAAGGAGAAGCTTGACAAGGTGGCACTGGTAAATTTTTATCCAGTCGAAGAGGCGTGTGCCTTACAAAACCAAGGGGTGTACCAAATTTCCGACGTGCAAAGTCGTCCAGCAAGGGATCAGGCTCCCTTCTTTCATTATCTGATCCAGAATCAGAGTCAGGATAGACATGTGGTAATTCTTCAGATGATCCACCATCACCTCTGGTGGAAGTTTTACATGTACCCACGTCATCAGCAACCGTTTCATCCTTCAGAGATTTCTCTTTTCTACTGAAGCCAAGTAAGAAAATTTGGATTGAACTAAATGAGATTCAAGTAGCACACAACATTAAGATCATAAGATATAGAAGCAGAATTAGGCCTTTTGGTCCAGCGAGTCTGTTCACTGCTGATATGTGGAAAAACAAATTCACTGTAGCACTTAGCAATTCAAGTTCTGACATCAGCAGAGGCTACAGCGTTACGTTATATTATCAGGTTTACTTTTCTTTCTCAGACCCTCTCAAAATAAGGAATCTTGCTGAAAAGAAAAGTAAGACACTGAGGATGCTGGAACTACTCTGCAATTCTGGCAGCATCTGTGGAAAAAGTTAATATTTTGACTCAAACAGAAGTTGTCTCGAGAACTGAAGGAGGGCAGAATGCAATGGGTTATAAACCACTGGAAAGGGATGATTGTTGGAAGAACAAATGGGCATATCTGGGATACGGTAGAAGGCAGGAGTTTAAGTAACAAAACTATCATGGAATGAAAGGGAAAGGGAATTAAAATGTTTGTAGTAAAGAAACAAAGCATTGTCCTGAGTAAGTGAAAAACGGCAAAATAATTAATAGCAGTGAGCATTTAGCACCAGTTTCACAAAAGGAGGAAAAAAACATGGATGAAGCAGGAAAACTGGAACGGAATGGTTTTCTTTTGCGGGGGCAGGGGGGGTGGAAGAAGAGGAGGTGGTGGTCACTGTGCTTAGAGGTGCATGTTACTGATAAACACATGGTTCCAGGTTGTCAGAGTTTAGTAGATTATTATACTTGGCACTGTTTACTGAACATCTCAAGTGAACAGACAGGAAGTCTGCTTTTCTTGAAACACTTACCAGAGAATGTTCAAAAGGTCAGCCGGATGGACCAAAATGGCTTCTTTCAGTCCTGTCCATTGCAGTACCATTGTATTGTCAAGGCAACCAATACAGACTACTGATGATCTTTTCATGTTTGCTTGGCAACCATGAAGGTCATTTTCTTTACCATTAGTAGATAAAGCTAAAAAATGAGGCTGGAATTTTACTTGGGAATGTAATGTGTTTTTTTTTAAAAAATGCAGCATAGAATTAAATCTGGAAATAATTATTCCTTTATTGAAGGAAAAATTAATGAAAATTATTTTAAATAATTCATAACTGAACTAATAAACATACTAAACACTTAAATATCACGAACGATTGGTCCTACAAGAAGGAAAATGATCAGTTTATTTGTAAGACTAAGTGCACAAATCACTTAGAGCCAACACACCACTATACACAATGATCAAAAGCCAATAGAATGCTAGCGTTTTACCTCAAGGAGGTTGGAATTCAGTATTAAGGAAGCGATGCTTCTATTGTGCAAAACCTTGGTCAGACTCCACTTCATGCAGTGCTTTCAGTATTGGGTTGCAAACCTCAGGAAGTATTTACTGGTCTTGGATGAGATAAAGTACAGGTTTACCAAAATTATACCAAGGATTAGGGAATTACATTGAGGACTGACGTGGAAACTCGGCATGTAGACTACGTCATTTGAAAAGGTCGGAGGAGCAAGTAACCAGGGAATTTAAAATTATTAGGGGATGAGACACAGTAGTTGGGGAAATTACTTCATTTTGTGGCAAATCCTGATTAAGATGGCAGAAACTTAACAATGGAGTCAGGCCGTTACAAGTGAAACTAGGAAATACTTTTTGCACTTTGTTTTTTTGCCTACGAAGTGGGCAAATGAAGCCAATAGATAAGCCACTAAGTGAAAGATGAAGCAGGCTGGAGCTCCTGAATGATCAATAACCCTATCCAAGCCAGGTGCTTATTGAGACTGATCACATTAACTTTTGCCTACATACTAACTTCACCAACAGTTACCATCTTCAGACAGCCAATGATACGATCAACACATTGCATCCTGTCCCTCCAGTAAATTTCCACCCTTAATATAACTGGATTTAGCAAGATCCATTCAGAAACCTAGCTGCAAATGCCATTCTCATCCAAGCTTGCTACTTGACATCTTTATAAACATTTTTATTGCTGTATATTCAAATTCTGTCCATGCTTAGAGTTATATGCTTTATAATGCAAGGAAAATACAACTTTCCCCAATCCACCTACTTCACAATGAAATTAGCTGAATAGCATTTGGAAAAGCAAAACTTACACAATAATTTGGATATGTCACTTCTTGTTTCCCAATGAGCTCGCCTGTACACAGTGATAATTAAGTGCTAACTACTGCAAAATACAAGCAGTTTCATAAAAACAAAGTACCTTGAAAACGTTCCATCATTTTCTGTAAACACTGGGCTTGCCCAACTTCTTCTGTTATCTTCACGTCTTGCCGCTCGCTTTTTCTTCAGTGGAGCTGGAACATAAGTTGCAGGTTTGTTTTTTGCTGGCAGGAATTGGTTGTAGGGCACAACAGGCTTATACTCAGAAGTGGAGGTCCTGCGAAGTGACATATCATCCTTTGCTCCATCCATTGTCTTGCTGTTTAGATAGTCTGACTCAATGTCACTCCCACCACCTAAAGCAACAAAGAGTTGAAGAAAAACATCATTTCAAACCTGTGGTTTCTCGGTTATTTCTTCAAACTCTACTGGTGCAACTCCCGATTTCCAAATGTGTTTTGCTAATGCCCAACACACGATGCCTATATTAGTTTCCTTTGGAACACTTTGTCTAGAGGTTCACAGATCGCTGACAGTAATCATCGAGCCAATTTTGGAAATCTATTAATAGACTATGATATGTCCTTGGTCCAAAAATTATTTTCACTCAAGTGATAAATGCTGTCAATTCTTTTAATCAGGCAAAACATTCCACGAGGGACAAACAAAATGCAATAGAACGCCAGTGACTCTGTGACATCCCCATGGCATTTGGGTTCATAACATAACAAGAAATCTGGATGAGAAATTTACCACTATTTTTGTATGGTCATTGATTTCATTTAACTGCTAAAAAGGGCCATCACCAAATTATTTTTCCAAACAGGATAGGTCACAGAAATGGATGACCAATACGTTCTTCCCTCCAAAACATGTCTATGACTGAATGCTGACAGTAAACTTGACTTACCTTCACTACTGCCTTTTAATGTTATGTCTGATGAAAGACTGGCGACAGACTTTGACCCAAGTGAGTCTAAACTATCAAGTGAATCGTCTCTTCTATGCCTGAGCTGTGGCGATATTGACTCGTTCCTTTCCGTACACCAGATATCACAGTATCCACTGTCTCGTCCACTGCGTTTCAGACTGCCAGAGTCCACAAGTGCCTAAAGTGGGATTTAAGACTCAAATGTTGCCCCAGCACATGAAAATTTTCATTCACATCAGCTCTTTCCTCTGATCAGAAGTGCAAGGCTAACTATCTGCGTCAAGTTGTGCCACAAGCATACTCAGACCCTGCCCAGCATCATCTTCACCAATTACCATATTTTATTTTTACAGTTAATTCATCTCCCAAGTCATACAAACTTGGTTGGAAGATAACAGACTTGCTGCCAGGTTTTACATGTTTGTACACTAGCCACTGGGTGGCATACAGGAGCAGTTAAACTTGATTGCAATGCATTGGTGAACTAACCTTGACAGCAGATAGCTGTCAAGGTAGCATTTTTTTAAAAATTTAACCCATTTTCCTGATCAGTATGTTATTACCCATCTCTGGAGCAGGTGGGACTTGAACCTGGGTTTCTTGGTTCAGGGATAGGGACACCAACTCTGCACCATAAGAGGGCACTTTATTGACATAACACAAATTAGAATTCAATGATACCAAAGCTGTAAAAAGGTGACGAAATTCTCCAGATCAGGAAAAGAATAATCATTGTTTCAACACTGCTCTTATTTATTTATTAATGCAGCAAAAGTACCAAAATTAGTGAAGACCCTCTGAAGACTACTTTGACACTGCTCTTAAATGCATCGGAAAATCCCTCCTTCATTGCCAAGTGGTCTAGGCCCGAAACGTCAGCCTCTCTGCTCCTATGATGCTGCTTGGCCTGCTGTGTTCATCCAGCCCTGCACCTTGTTGTCTCTAACACTCATGCAGCTGTAACCGCTCCCTTATAACACTGCATCCATCACCTCCTCTACAGCGGGGACTCCAAATGCAGATTGGTTGATTGCTCTTGAATCTCCATTCAGTATGCAAATATCACAAGAACTATGATGATGCAGAAGGAGGCCATTCAGCCCACTGTGCCTGCACCAACTCTTCAAACACGCATCATTACCTGCAGCCAATCTCCCACTTTCTCCCCATTCACTTGAACACTATTTTAATCCATATAATAACCTAATGACCTCTTGAACGCCGAGTTAAATCTGTCTCCACCACATTTCCAGGCAGCGCATTCTAAGTACTTGCTGAGTGATAAACCTTTCTTCCTCACATCACCCTTGTTTCTTTTGCATATGTCCTTAAAATCATCACTTTTAGATGTGATGCCAAGGTTTCTGGTCACTTGCCAAATTAAACAGCTGTCCCACTCTTCTGATTATGCACTCAGCCTTCAATATTTGACCAATAAAACTCGGTGACAGCTTGAAGATTAGGCCTGACCTTTCCATGGTCTGGACTAAATACCAGATTCAACAACTAAGGCCCACTGCTTGCTTCTTTACTTCCATTTCTATCACTTTCATCTTGCACGGTCACCCCTCATGATGTAATTTCTCCCACCATCCACACAATCATATATTTGCATTTTCACCGTTTCCTCTACTCTCCCCTTCCCATGTCTCTGTATCGACTGTTAATGCCTGTGATATTTTTGGGTCTGCCACCAGGTGGCATGGTGGCTCAGTGGTTAGCACTGCTGCCTCAGTGCCAGGGACCCATGTTCGGTTCTAGCCTTATTACGACTGTCTTGTGCGGAGTTTGTGTGGGTTTCCTCCAGGTGCTCTGGTTTCCTGTCAGTCCACAAAGGTGTGTAGGTTGGGTGGATAAGCCATGGTAACCGCAGGGCTACAGGAGTGGGGCAGGTCTGGGTGGGATGCTCTTCAGAAATGTTAGCGTGGACCCGATGGGCCGAATGGCTTCTTTGAGTACTGTAGGGATTCTATGAAAGGGCTACAAGGCTGAAACTAATTTTTGGCAAAGGGTCAATTTTGTCAAGTTTTACAGACGGCTTCTCGTGCATTTTACCAAATTTACCTCATGAGCTACCTACCCACCTCTCTCATCCAATTTTTTCCCCATTTGACCACCAGCTATACCTGGAACAACTCACTACTGCCAGAATATTTAAGAATGGACTGGCACCATCTTTAAAAGGTTGGTCTACACCTGGATAAACACTTAGCCCACAGCCACCCTGCACAGTTCCTGACATTTATCCCTGATGTGGCAGACATGGGTTTTGGGGGAAATCGATGCCCTGTTTTGCAGGTAGGGACCTGAAGGTCCTGATTGATGGGTCTGCACAGGTGGGACTTCAATTTCCTCAATGACTAGCAGTGGAAGCCATGGCACCAGACCATGTCAGCCCAATCCAATGTTGGAACCAAAGTTAAAGCAGTCTAAAGGAATGCTCAGCACTGTACAACAGAGGGTCAATAACCTCCTCCAGTCCACAAGCGCTAGTGCCACCTTCTCTCCAATATCTCGCACTCTCTCTCCTTTCGCATCCACCTCCTACCAAGGCTCATGTCCTACCATTCTTACTATGGCCTGCAACATCTTCCCTCCCTTAGCATCACCCATGCCAACCCCTGATACCACTAACACTGCATGTCTTCTGTGCTGCTTGCTCACTCACACTAGACACCTCCCCACCTGCACCAAGAATAACAGCTGGACCTATTCACCTCCATCTCTCATAATACCCTCCCCTCTCCTTCCAGGAAGAAAACAGTACACCATAGGGCAGAAATGTCCTGGCTGAGGGACAAGGCACAAAAAGGCAAAACGAGGCATGGACGCGGCAAGTTTCCAGGAAGGCTCGTAGTGAGTGAGCACTGAAAGAGCACACAAACAGCATGGACCTTAGTGGATGCAGTCGATGAGCTGTGTATGTGTTCCTGAGGACAGTGTCCTAGCTGGAGCATTACAATATCGTTGAGGTTACACCCCAAAGTGCACCACTGAAATACAGAAATATTCTCTAACTGGATTGGAGATGTGGCATGAGGGTTCTTGGAGTCTGGCACATGTCAGATACCAATGTGCATCTGGCTGGCGTACATAGTGTGCCCGGAGATGTTGGTGCTTGCTGTCTAACATGGAGGGTCCTTTGGAGCAAACAGCGAACTGAAGTCACCAGGTCACCTTCTGTCTTCCATATTTATATCTTTAGGTGTCTGGTTTCCTAACAGCAAGTAGTACAGTACAAAACTGTTTATTACGAGGAGAGATAGAGTTATAGAACTGTACAGCATGGAAACAGATCCTTTAATCCAACTTGTCCACACCAACCAGATATTCTAAATTAGTCTGGTTGCATTTGCCAGCATTTGGCCCATCTCCTTCTAAACCCTTCTTGTTCATATACCCATCCAGGTGCCTTTTAAATGTTGTAAATGTACCAGCCTCCACCACTTCCCTCTGGCAGTTCATTCCATATACACACCACCCTCTGAAAAAGTTGCCCCTCAGGTCCCTTTTAAATCTTTCCCCCTCTTACCTTAAACCTATGCCCTCTAGTTTTGGACTCTGCTGAAAATAGTCAAAAAGCAGAAGGGAGACGGAGGGCTTGGTGACATGGTGCAATGAAAACAGTCTGTCTCTCCACGCTGGCAAAACTAAAGAACCCTTACCCTGGGGAAAAGACCTCGTCAATTCAACCTATGCATGCCCTTCCTGATTTTATAAACCTCAATAAGGTCACCCCTCAGCCTTCAACACTCCAAGGAAAATAGCCCCAACCTATTTAGCCTCTCCTTATAGCTCAAACCCTCCAACACCGGCAACATCCTGGTAAATCTTTTCTGAACCCTTTGAAGTTTCACAGCATACTTCCTACAACAGGGTGACCAGAATTGAACGCAGTACTCCAAAAGTGGCCTAACCAATGTCCTGTACAGCCCCAATATGACCTCCCAACTCCTATACTCAATGCACTGACCAATAAAGGCATGCATATCAAACACCTTCTTCACTATCCTATCTACCTGCGACTCCACTTTCAAGGAACTGTGAACATGCATTCCAAGGTCCCTTTGTTCAGCAACACTCCCCAGGACCTTACCATTAAGTGTATAAGTCCTGCCCTCATTTGCCTTTCCAACATGCAACACCTCACATTTATCTAAATTAAACTCCATCTGCCACCCCTCGCCCAATTGGCACATCTGATCAGGGTCCCGTTGTACTCTGATTTAACCTTCTTCACTGTCCACTAAACCATCAATGTTGGTGTCATCTTCAAACTTACTAACCATTCCTCCTATGTTCACACCAAATCATTTATATAAATGACAAAAAGTAGTGGACCCAGCACCAATCCTTGTGGCACATAGCTGGTCACAGGTCTTCAGTCTGAAAAGCAACCCTCACCACCAACCCTTCTCCTACCTTCGAGTCAGTTCTGTTTCAAAATGGCTAGTTCTCCCTGTATTCCATATGATCTAACCTTGATAACCAGTCTACCATGAGGAACCTCCAAGTCCAACAGATCATGTTTACAGCTCTGCCGCCATCAATCCTCTTTGTTACTTCCTCAAAAAACTAAATCAAGTTAGCGAGAGACAATTTCCCATGCACTAAGCCATGTCGACTATCCCTAATTAGTTGTTGTCATTCCAAATACATGTAAATCCTGTCCCTCAGGATCCCCTCCAACAACTTGCCCACCACTGACAATCAGGGTCACTGGTCTACAGCCCCCTGGCTTTTCCTTCCCCTTTCCTTTTCCTGTGCAGTTAATAAAGGTCAATAAAAATCCTCCTTAATAGGCAACTTGCATTGCTGAGTGAGAATCGCAGCTCGTAGCCTGCAACTTAAAAATTCCAATGAGCTACTCGCGATGACGACTTAGAACTCTGTGCACTTCTCACGTAGTTCTACCACGTTTCTAAACTGAGCCCACATCCTTCAGGCTCCTTTAAGATTCTGCCCATGAATACTGTTTCTCTCTCCAGACCTGCAAATTATTTCTGACACTCTGGTTATATCTTTGTTGAAAACTACCCTATTTGCTACATTATAAATCTTCATTACCCACTAACTACTAACTGTACAACCAGAAGCAAGGACATAATTTCTTATCCATGATCCTTGAAGTGCTCTGTGCCTGGTATACAGCATTTGAAGTCACACACACACACTTATACAAATATAATTTCCAGACATTATGCATTTCCTCTCTATCTCCTATTTTTCCTTAACACAGGTGGCAAACTCAATCTAAGTAACATATTCCGGTGATTTACATGTGTCCTACCCATAAATCTGCAGCTTGTGAACAGCTTCTCAGATTGCCGCTCCCAATCTATTTTGCGCATCATGCATCACATAGGTGTGTCATTTATATTTGACTGTTCTCTGTTTTAAGTTAGCCTTGTCCTGAACATTTACAGATTAGTAAACTGTAACTCACCTTCGTCAGAGTCTGCCCAAGGAGCCCTTCAAATGCTTTCAGGTTAAGGTAGGGTCCATTATAATGAGGCTCATGCTGTGCTCTTCTACCAAGCCAATATATTGTGATCAGAACCTGTAAACGTGCCATTTTCCATTTAAACATTTGACATGGAAAGAGAAGAATATATGAATAAGAAACATTGTTCAAGAAAATTTATGGAACATGACTGTTTCATAAATCCACGCTAATTCTTATTCCCATTAAATGCATTGAATGGGTTCTATTATAACTAAACACTGCAGGATGTCTTTTCGTATGATAGAAGTACCAGGTCAGCCAGCACAGGTCTGAGCTTTTCAAATAAATAGCTTCACTTATTGCACTGTAGTTCCAGTCCATCCAGCTTGGTCAATTTACAACATTTCAAATGTAAAAACCGGGGTCAATGGGGGCAGTAACGTTTGCCCCACAGATACGGCACAAATTCACTCAACCGTACCAGATTCTGGAAAGGTGGGTCTTCACTGGCAAGGCCTGTAACAGGCCAAGAAGCTTGCCAGTCAGCTATTAACTCCATTGACTGGCTCATTAATCAATTAGCCACTCAACCGTGGTGGCCACTGAACATGTGAATGACCATCATACAGGAAAGTGGTGATACATCTAGGAGTACAGTGTGGAAATCCCGTTTCCTTACCCAAGGATGAACTACATTGATGCTTGGGTGACAGGACTGTCCTACAGAGAGATTGAGAGAACTAGCACTATATTCCCTGGAATTTAGAAGATGGGCTTACTGAAGCACATAAACTTCTTAAGTGGGTTAATTGTATAGATGCAGAGAAAATGTTACCCCTAACTAGGGAATCTACAGGTTTGAACACAATCTGGGGTAAGGATAAGTTTCATCACTCCAAAAGGGCTGCACATTTGGATACACAGAAATAGAATGCATTCAAGGAGGAACTCAATACATTTTTGGATACGGAGGAATGAAGGGATGTGGGTGTGCAGGATCTGAAGTTAACTCTCAGCCATGATTTTGCTGATAGCACAGCAAGCTTGAACCTGGCCTATTCAAACTCCTATTTATGTTTTTGTGATACTCCAAAAGGTCTTTGCACATTTAGATGTGCAACAGTAAGAAAACAAAGGTCAGAATTAATTTGAAATAAAGAGACCGTGAAAATACAAGTTGAAAATATATCAAACAAGTGACAAAATAGGATGAGAAATAAATTAAAACCAAACAGACATCAAATTAGGGCAAGGAATGGTGAGAGATTGCAACAAAGTCTTAAAAAGGAAAGAGGCCACAATGCCAGGATTAGAGGTGCTTAATATATTGTACATTTTGAAAAAAGAACTTTTGGAGGTTCTTACCGATGAAAGCAAGCGTGCCAAAAGCATGCTTGCTTTCATTGGTCATAACATTGAGTACAAGAGTTGGGGCATCTTGTTGCAGCTGCATTAGACGCTAGTAAGGCCACATCCAGAGTACTGAGTGTAGTTCTGGTTGCCCTATTACAGAAAGGATATTAATAAATTAGAAAGAGTGCAGAAAACATTTGTTAGGATGCTACGTGGACTGGAAGGTTTTAGTTATAAGGCGAGGCTGGGACTTTTCTCCCCCGGAGCAGAGGAGGTTGAGGGGTGACCTTATAGAGAGTTATAAAATCATGACAGGCATAGATAAGGTAAATAGCTAACAGTTTCTCCCCCATGGTAGGAGAGTCTTAAAACTAGAGAGCATAAGTTTAAGTGAGGGGGAAAAGATACAAAAAAGTGTCCAGAGGGGCAAATTTTTTCCCACACAGAGAGTGGTGAGTGTTGGGAATGGGCTGCCAGAGGTAATGGTGGAGGCAAGTACAATTTGTCATTTAAAAACATTTGGACAGGTACACAGATGGGATCGGTATGGAGGAATATGGACCAAATGAGGAAAATGGGGCTAGATTAATTGTGAAAACTGGGTGGTATGGATAAGTTGGGCCGAAGGGTTTGTTTCCATGCTGTAAACCTCGATGACTCCAGAGGCTGTTCAATATAGAACAGAACCAGAACATTAAGTCTAATTAATAGAACATGTTTACTTAAATTATGCAGCATGTAGACTTTTCATGCCCCCAGAGGGGGGAGGGGGGGGGGTGGGGGGGGGGGGGCGGGGGGGTGGAGGGTTGAATTGTAAATTTTTATCACTACCATAAGCCTTTGAGTTGTTATTGGTCAATCAAGCACCAACGAATCAAGTGGCCAATAATAATGGAGTCCTTCTCACCTCCCCCGGTATGAATATCAGGTCATCATTGACAATCACATTCCAATATCCTTGGTCACATTTCAACATGAAAATTCCATCAGCTCTCTCAGAGTCCTCTGAACTTTCACAGAATCAGAATGGCTACAGCACTGGAGCAGACAGCCATTTGACTTGTCCTGTCTGTACTGGCTCTCTGCAACAGCAACAGAGCTAATCCCTTTTCCCCATAAGTTATCTGCTGCTTGTCAGGTGCATACCATTCTCAAAGGCCTGACTGAACTGGATTTGCAGGCAGAACCAGAAGCTCACAGGAGGCACTGCAGGAAGAGGGTTAAAGAGAATCATGGCATATCCATGTGACTCTCAGGACTTTAGAATGGGGCCAGATCACAAGAGTAGGGTGGAGGGTCAGTTTCTATCAGGTGAGCTGCACAGAAGGAAGGTGGGGTGGCATCTTGGGGCGGTGACAGCGGGGGGTCTTCTCCAAGTATACAAGGCACTCCAAATGAAATGTTTCTCCCCCGGGCTTCTTTCCCACCTTTGCTAATATAGGCAGTCAAGATCGACCTACCAACTTTCATAAGGCTCAGTATTTTGGGGTGGGCAGCATGTTCTGAGTCAATTAAGCATTTAACAACCTCAACTGATCTTCGATAGTTTAATATCAAATGGTGGGTGACAGGCTGATTTCAGCACCTACTCTCCCATTTGCAATTCGGGGGTGATCTGTGGAAATGAGTGGGAAGGTGGCAAGCTCACCACTTTATTTCACTTGCCGTCACACTGAAAACACAGCTGGCGGGGGCATGTAAATGCAGCTTTGATTAGGGGTGGAGGCAATGAAGAATTTATTAACTCTAAAAGCACATCAGATTCTATGTTACCATCTCAATGGAAGGGACATCTGGCTGACAGATTGCAGATGGGGCTCAGAGTATCCTTGTTAACTTATGCCTAGTGCATTACATGGTGTATTTCTGAACCAGGGTAAAGACATCATCAGAGCACAGTCAACGAAGCTACATTCTGTACTGACCTTTTTGTACTTTGATTAGGGTACGGTCATTTCAGAGCTTCCCTAGCACTGTCTATAGGTCCCCTACATAAATATACACACCAAAGAGGTGTTATTAATTCTCCCTCCATATGTAACAAATGGTTGTGCTGATGACAAGAGGCTGTTTCTAGACGATGTAGTAAATTCTAGCAGGTGAGCATGCAAAGAGAACTATTCCTATTCCTAGCTTTTGATGTCTTCAGAGAGTCAAACATTCCTCAAATGTTGTTATCCAGGCAGTCCAAATGCATAGCAATGGAAAAGTTAGAAGGCTTCTAGAGTAAATCTTTCTCAAAGAACATAAATGAATATCAAGAACATGATGAATCAAATTCTTAAGATAAAATGGAGCTGATGTTCATACATCATCCACAAGACAAAGATTACACAAACTTGGTTTTATATAGCACCACTGACATTCCAAGATATTTCACAACAGTGTATCAAAAACTGACACCAGGCCAAATAAGGAGATATGAGGATAGATGACCAACATCTTCCTATGCTGCTTGGCCTGCTGTGTTCATCCAGCTCTACACCTTGTTATCTCTTGCTGTAAGAGGTAGGTTTTAAGGAGTATCTGACAGGAGGAGAGGTTTGAAATACAGGAATTTGAGGAGGGCTTGTATTTAGGACCCAGGAAACTAAAGTCACGGCCACCAGTAGGAAGCAATTAAAATAGAAGATACATTAGAGACGCTCAAGTTGGCAAAATGCGGAAATCTAAGGATGTAAGCCTTAAGGTTGTTACATGGACAGGGAGGAATTTAAACATGAGGAAGGGAATTTTATCAAGGTTTCAATGGACTGGAAGCTAACATAGGCTAGCAGACACAGGGATAAGAATGATCAGGACTGAATGAGAGCTGGGACCAGTGGTGTTTTATTTATGCTCAACCTTACAAAGGGCGAGGGCTGGGAGAGTAGCCAGGGCAGCATGGGAAATCAGCTGGGAAGTAATAAAACACTCATTGAGGGAGTCAACAGCAGACAAACCTACAAATGGGACAAAACCAAAGTTAACTCATTTTGAAGCTGATGCAATATTAAGGCAGATATGACCATCACTGTAACCAGATTTTATTGATTTTAATTTTTTAAAATATAATTATAATAAAGGAAATTAAGTGAACTCTTACTAAAAAAACAGTACTGTCAGAAAGAAACCACTAAATCTTTCTTATTTGACAAAGTAGAAATGCCACCAAACTCTAAAAGACATTTAAGAGTTATTAATAAGAGGTAGTCCAACAGTATTAAAGTCATTTAACCAAATGAAGTGCCCAGGAAATCCATTCATAGTAGGAACCACTTTCCATTCAACTGTTGTTTCTCTGTCACAACCTATTTGGAACAGAATACATTGTTTTGGAAATGTCAAGGCATTGAAGATTAAGAAATCATCCCCCATTGTAATTTGTTCCAATTTGGTACAAAATTCCAAATCAAACAGAAGCAAAGAATGTGGCTAAACGAGTTGTAAAAGTTAAGATCATGCCACAGTTCCACATTGCCTGTACTGATACTCAACTCAAAACACGATATTGGTAAAGTTCAGCGAAAGACTTTTATACGGAAATAAATGTACCAACCCAAAATATGAACCAAAAAAAACACTTTCAAAATCTATAAATGTGTAAAACATCAGTGACAACAAGCATACGTGACTTGAATTAACAGCAGATCACTTACATTTTTTAGCCTCCTCCGATTTTCTTCACGTCTGTGGAAATTAAAATAATCTAGTCAGTATTACCACCTTGAATGGCCCCAGTTCAAAATGTTCACACTTAAAATACATTCCAATTTTTAATCAATTAATTATTATTCCATCTACTGGGGAGCCACTATGAAACAATGCGAGCCACACTGATGTTACAAAGGTCAGTTGAATCTGCAACGAGCACTTGCAAGGCAGCACAACAATCATTTACCACAGAAATTTTGGCAAGGAACATCAGTAAAATTCAGTGATAGTTGGAACTGCAGACGCTGGAGAATCGGAGATAACAAGGTGTAGAGCTGGATGAACACAGCAGGCCAAGCACCATCAGAGGAGCAGGAAGGCTGACGTTTCGGGCCTAGACCCTTCTTCAGAAAGGCCTCATTACTGCTTGTGGGAGTTTGCTGTGCTCAAGTTAGCTAATGCCTTTCTGACTATACATTAGGTTGGATAATTCAGACTCATTTCCTTGGCTTTTGTAAAGCCCTTAATAAGTCCTGAGGCAGTGGAAAGTGCTATATAAATGCAAGTCTTTCTTTTTTCTCTTCCCTTTCATTTCTGACCACATTGTGGTTGGCGGGACCTAAAAGTTGCAACAGCTAGAATGCTGGACCCAAGCCCAATTCCAACCTGAGGCCATTCTTTAGCAGAGGAGAGATGTAACCAATCAAACAAATTAGCAGCAGCTTGGGTCAATTAGAGGAGCCTTATTGAGAGGTTTCCCATCAGTCTAGTGTGGCAATCAGGTGGCTTCCTTGAGAGCTGACCAAGTGCGGGGTGGAGTTGTGTGCATTGTCAGAATCCCAGGCA